CTGGTTTAGCCCGCGCTCCCCCGCGTGTTGGGTACCTTTATTTGTCCTTTCCGAAACAACAGTACTCTTTTGTTTAGCAGTACGCTCTAGTGCTTTGTTGCTGTTAAGAGATAGGGCTTAATGTTAAAAATGCAAAAGCTCAGGCCCTCGCGGGCCTCCGAGCAGCCCGCCTCAGAGGTGGCTCCTCAGTTCCTGAGGAGAGGTGCCCGGGCGGCGGGAGGGCGCACGGTAACCCTCGTCTTCCCGCCCCTCCCGCCGCCTGAGCCCCTGTTCTTGACGCGTTTTCCTACCTCCTGTGAGGCCGTTGGGAGGCACTTGTGTTAAATAACTATAGCTTGGTCGTGGCGTACGCGCTCTTTGCGCGGCTGAGAGGCTCCTCCCTTAACCTAGCATGGCAGGAAATTCAGCCTGAAGTTAATAAAATCGTAGGTAAAGAATGATATTTAATGATACTTAAACGCTGGCCAGCCAATTTTTGGACCCGACGACGGGATGGCAGCTACGTGCTCAACCTGAGCGCTCCTCTCCTGGGGAGGCCGGAGGCCGGCGGGGAGGGGAAGGCTGTGGTACCAGCGGTGCCCAAGGCCAGCAGCAGACTGGAGCCCGCAGTGCAAAGGCAATACCCTGCTGTATGCTCAGGGGAGGCCCTAGTTCTTACGCAGTGTCGCGTGTGCTTTGTACACGGGCACAACGGCCAGCATTAACTGTCATCGTGTATGGTGACGAGGACTTTCTGCACGTGCAGCAGAGGTCTAGATGTGTTCCTCGCGCCTGCCGTTGCTATGGCACGCACAGAGCGGTTGTGGTAGGTGGTCTGCTTGTTCTCGAATAGCGTGAGTGCTTAAAATCAGCATAAAGAAACCCATCTGTTGGTACCGGAGAATGGAAATAGTCTGGTTTGTAGCTCCAGGATGTTTTTGTATCTTCAGACTTGCAGGTTAGATCATAATTACGTCTCCTGCCCAAATAATCAAAGGCACACTTATTAAAAGAGGGAGTTGCCGGACCTGATCTGTTATGTGCATATTGCATACTTAGTACTCGGCGTGCTCTGCGGCTCCATTAATGATATCAGTATTAAAAAGCAAACAATATGTAGCAAGGACGAAGTGGCTTTGTTATATAAATAGATGTCTGAAAGCTAGGGCTTTGCCAAGCAGTGTAAATTTACTCTCTTCTTTTTAAAGCTTCAATTTGATTCAGTATTTTTTGTGTTTATCTGTTGAGGGGAGCTTGGATCTGGTTTTTGGTTCGAAGAGGCGTGTTCTTTGGTTTTGTATTTATTTAAGGCATTGCAAGGCACACCAGGGTCAACAGTGACTTTGTCAAAACAGGAGCTATGCCAGATAAATTTGGCCTGATCTGCTTTGGAAGCGAAAAAATCAATAGGGAAAATTTATACCGGGCAGGGCGGTGCTGGAGGAGGGAGGCTGTTTGTTAAGCCTGAATTTACCCACAAGGT